CGCCGCTAAGCATCATATCAAAAAGAAATTTGAAGGTTTTTATTGAGTAGACCTTACCATACTTTTGGACGTAGTCTCCGCCTCTGTTTTGACATTTCTGGTGTCAATATTGTAGCTTCTTGATGCCTTCCGCGTAGAGGCCAAAGAGGAAAAATCACAGAAATTTTCAAGACTGGACGTTAAGTAGCTTTTCATTTAAAAAATAAAGTATGACAGGAAGTCTGCGACGTCGCAAACCGAGATACGTGGTTTGGTAGTTTCACCGTCGATATTTGGATTTACCCGTAAGTTGTTTAATAAATAAATTAATGAATATCCAACTTTTTTTCAGATTTTTCGATAACTTATTCAGAGCTCCAAGGACTCAGTCTCAGGTAACTTTAATCTTGAAACCTATAATTTCAGTCTGAAAATTAATACTAAACAAATGTCTATCCGTTTCAATGGTTCAAATGCTACAAACATTATTTTTCTGCAGATAAAAATGGCCAGTAAAACATTGTCGAAATAAACAGTTTAACTCAGTCCTCGTCTCAACTGATGCCAGTAAAAGATTTAACTGATGTCAATTAGAATCAGTAGAGAATTTAAGTGTTCAAATGGCATTTTGACACTGTTCTATTGTTTAATTTTATCAGGACAGGCGGTCTTTCATCGTACACTGCAGACGCCTTCAACATGTACAGTTTTCTTTTTTCAATTTTCTTGAAGTGATCACACCACAATGTTGAAATTTATAGGATGAACTGATTATTGAGAAACTCTTGAAACTAGTGACATAACATTCAATACCAACAGTATGGGCGATAAACGGGGAGGTAACTTACTTATACTGTGAGTAGTTTCGACATTAGCAGCTTTCCATGGTGAGAAGTTTCTTTCAGAAGGAGCAAAAACAATGATTTGAGCAGGTTCCAGAGCACCTGTTACAAAAGTTAACAACATCATCGCTAGAAAGAGATACCTATGTGATGATAGAAAATCCAGATGAAACAAAGAAATCTTTTTAAAATAATACAGCAGATAACTCTGAGCATTGTTGCTTTGGCCAACATTTTAATAGCTTAAGTGCAACATCTCATGGTGCCACTACAAAGTTCAACATTTCTGCCCTTATTACAGTTTTTCAAAAAAAAAAAAAAAAAAAAAAAGTCAATCTCATAGCTTAAAATACTTGAAGAAGATCCTGCTGAGAGAGAAAAAAAATCAAATAAATATTTAAGAAATTATAGGTTCACTAATTTTACAGAGGAAAAATAAAGAATGACAAGAAGTCTGCAACGTCGTTATTGGAGATATATGGTTTTCGACTTAGGCCATCAATTTGTAATATTTAATGTTGCGTGCACTGAAAAAAATGTGGCACTTCATTCTAAAATGATAAAAATTGAATGAAATCAAAGTACTGCAAACGAGCATATCATAGCGAGATGACTCGCTGAAATGGGTCCACTTGGTAGTTGGATTTTACTTAATAGTTGAACTTTCCATGAGACATGTATAAATCACAAGGAACTATGTGCATAGATTTGGCGTTTAACATAGCTCCTTTTAACATAAATCCATCCAATTTTACTGACTATACCTCACAGTGCATACCTGATTTTATCAAGCCGAGTCCTATGGCTTGGGCCATATTGCCAGCTCCGAAGAAACCCACTTTTACATCCGACAGTTTTGCCATGTTGATAAAACTACCTAATAGAATTATTTAAAAATTAAGCATATTAGAAAATTTGGTAAAACCAAGTCTTGTCTGAAACCTTTACATTACATATTGAGTGTTCCTCTATAATAGGAATAAACAGTGCAATTCTTAAACAAGGGTCCTTCCTCGAATGATCCTGGTTAAACACAGCAGCGGCAAATCCTTTGCAAATTTTCTTTTTCGGCACCAAAAAATGACCCTTTTCGGCTCGCGTCCTAAATTTTAATTTTTCTCAAAAGTTTGCAAAAAAGCACGCATCCATCAATTGAGTTTCCTTCCTGCTGGTAAGCTTTTACGAGGTTCTTCTTTTTTTTGAAGTTACCGCTGGCTTCCCCCAATTACTTTGAATCACTTCGAAATTCATTTCACTCCGATACTATTCAGACACCTTTAAAACTTTTTAAAAACTTTAAAACACTATGATATCCAACACGGCGCGTAACTTCTGAAAAATAGGTACAACCGAGCGGAATAGTTACAGAAAACAAAAATAAATTTAGGCTAAAAGCATACCAGTATAAAATCGTTGGACGACACGTCGAGATCGCGGCCACTACTGAGGGAATATTTGAGAGTGCTTTCACAGCTGACAGGTTAAGGGTTGGCACACGATGCCTCTGATAAACACAGCAAGCTCATTACAGGCGGTAGTTGATAAGTTAATGTCAGTTGTGGTAATTCCGTCACGGGGTAATTCCGGATGTGCATCATAGAGGTCGTAATATTGAGGTTAGGGAATTTTCGCGGTAGTATGTTGTTGCCAACGTTCAGTTGGTCACCCTGAGTGATTTGGTTCTCATTTTTTGTTTTTGAACATCGTTCAAATTCTTTTCCGATTTAAGGCTTATAATGTAAAATAAACAAAACTTACACAGCAGTACTCTTACGTGCTTACTCTTACGCGCGCAGCCAACGTAAGAGTTTATTGGATTGTGCTCAGGGTTCAGAGAGTGAAGACATTTCGTTTTTTAGCAATGCACCAACGAAAATTAAAAATTTGGCACTCGAGCACTCTTCAATTAATGGACATCTGAAACTGCAGATAAGCTGAAACCGATTGATAATTGATTGATGGATGACTGATGTTGATAAGAGAGAAATGATAAGAACAATGAATGAATAAAGTGCAAAGAATCCTTTCTGTACTAATGAAATAATTTTTAAGACGCTTAATGGACGGGTTGAGGAAGGAAAGTAAGACGGTCCAAAGATCGAATTCCAAAGAAGGAATAATCCAACTTCAGAATAAGGAGAAAGTCATTCGGAGTATTGTTTGGTGGGAATTTTTTCTTTGAAACATTGTTCCGTTATTCAATTAAAATTATTTGCTCATTAATCGCCGACGGGCGATATCGACGATTTTGCCGAGTGCGAAGCGGCCTTCAAGCGGTGCGCAGCGCCCCGGGGGTTGGACCGCTTAGCGGCCAGGAGGCGGAGTCCCCCTGATAGAAAATAAAATAGAGTAAAGCTTCCAATGAGCTATAGCCGGTTTACTGTTTAGTGTCGGTGTACCACAGTCACTACATGGTCACAAGGGTCACTCTATCTACTCTATGAATAGGGTGGTGGCTGGTGGCTCTGTGATAAGCTTAAGCGGGTGATGGGTGGGGAGTGGGTAGGTAGAAATCCTCCAAAGCAAATTGAAAGCATACATTTTGAACCACAACAAACGAGATACGGACCTGGTTCCATTTTTGATGAGCCTCTCAAACTTTAAGGTTGGTTGGTATTCTTAGCATTCATTGGTGGCTGATGGAGCCAGACATTTTTCACGGGTAATGGGTTGTCCAACGGTAAAAACATTCCTAAAAATTACGTAAACTGACGTTATTGAGACAATTTTTTCTGGTCGTGATTCAAGGATCCAAGATCTCTTATTCCCCATCCCGGGTTCACCACTGTCAGATATTTTATGAAAATCTCCAATTACCTCTGTAATATTCTTAAAATACTGGCATTTTAAAAAGTCTCGCCTTTCAATTAATCTCATTTCGCTAAATATTGGCGTTTTGATTGCTTTTTTTCCAATCCTCACTTCATGTCTCAATGTTATGATTTCATATTTTGCGTTATGAGAAACTTTCACTGACTCTAGGGAGTTAACTCCTTTCGCTCTCCTTACGCTTTCAGTGTGTGAGTGTCCAATCGATAAAATAATGATTTAACGCAATTGAGATCATCTTTTCTCAGCCTCAATAGGACGTATTTAAATCAAAAGCAACCATATCTATTTTGACATGAGCCCTGTTCTGCATGCACTCTTATGTCTCTGAAGGCCCATATTAGAATAGATTTAGTTCCTTTCAATTTAAATGCGTCCAATGGTTCATCGCACGAGCCGTTGTCGTTGTGGGACTGACTTTCTAACTCATCCTTGCAAACGGCTCGGCGTCCCAAATTCCCACCTGTTTATTCGATGAGGTAAAAAAATCCCCCAGCCAAAATCGTATTTATGAAAGAGTTTACGTTCAATTATAATTTGTGTCGCACGTGATGAATCTATCATGCATGTGGCCCAGTCGGCAATTCCATTTTTTAACCTCCCGGCGTGCTCGGTTCAGCGGGTACTTTTGATTCACCGAGAGGCGAGTCATTGGAAGTACAAATGTTTTCGAAGAATCGACAGGAATTGGAGGTACGTGCGTGGATAACGAGGGCCGATGGAGGCGCGGTTTCCTGGGTTCACTTTTCGTCGTTTAAATAAACGCGCATGTGCATGTTCGGTGAGAAAACGAGGAAAGTCAGGATTCGAGTGCAGTTGAACAGAAAGGAAAATGAAACGCGACGGCCTGTCGGACACACCTGCGCTGCCAGGAAAATTCAACGGTTTTTCGCGGGTTTTTCGGTGTTGGGGCTCGGGAGGATACGTGTCTATCCTGCGTTGGAACATCAATCGGCAAAGCACGAAACGACGTATCTCCAATGCGGTGTTACAAAATTTCCGCTCCCTGTTTATTTTTATAAAGTGAAAGAAGCAAACTATACAGCTTAAAATTCATACAGAGTATGCTGTTAACACATAGAAGAAAAATCAAGGGATGTTTCAAGAAATTATGATGATTAGTTTACTAAGGAAAAAATGAAGTATGATAGGAACTCTACAACGTCGCAAATAGAGATACGTGGTTTCGAAATTGGCCATTATTATTAAACACCCTGAGATTTTTTTCTTGCACTAATTTAATATCATTGAATATTGAGAAAATTTCGTCCATTGGAAATTTATTGCCGTGAAACTATTAAAATAAACACAGCTAAATAAGAGCCTGTAGGATCAGATGGTCAATACAATTTACGTCGTTTTAAGATGTATAAGTTGGTTCCCTCGTGTCTAATGTCAGTCTAATTGAGTACTAAAGATTCAAAGCACTAAAATTGTATGTGAATCACGTTGGGTCCATGAAAAATAGCCACGATTTGACTCATAATTGAGTACTACTGTCTGTATTTTCAATTACAATAAGTCAATTCAAACTTTTTGCAATATACCTCTTTGAGAAGCCCAGAGCTGGATTACCTAAGGGGGTGGCCACATAGGCCGCGGCCCATGGCGGCAAAATTAGGGGGCGGCAAATTTTGTAATTTTTTTAAATGCAGGTACAAAAAAATCGAATTCAGAAAAAAATTACAGACGTCAAAAAATTAAATTAAAAAATTACATGATCTCTCATTTCCTGAGAGTACATTAATTTCCAATTTTGTCGTATTTCGGTAATACAAGAAACTGTGCACATTTAATTCGTTGAGTTAAGAGAGAACCCAAACACGTAATTTGGCCTGGAGCGGCGCGGCGCAAAGAAAAATGATGACGTGGACTTGAGATGAAAAGGAGAAGCCCTCGGCGCGGCGCGGCGCGGCGGTCAGCATATAACACATATCAGCGCCTACAAGACTGCATGAATACTTCGCGCATTGCGTCAAACACGGTACGGTCAACAGCAGCGGTCGGCGCGGCGTGAAACGCTCAGCGCCTACATGACTACATGAATACTTTACGCATTGCGCCGAACACAGTGTGGTCAGCGCGGCACGGCGGCGGAAGTTAAAATTATTAAACCGCACATTTATGTTTGTTCTTTCTTAATTTTTTAGTTCATTTCTTACAAATAAAAGGCCTTGTCCACACAGAGATAGGTTTACGGAACTGAACTTTCGTGAAGTTCGAGTAGCGAAGTTCCGTGAACTTTTGCTAATAGTGCTGACAGGGCTTACGCAAAAAATGTGCCCAACACGAGTAAACGCGTCTTATGCACCCCTCCTTCTCCGGCACGTTCACTTGATGGTTTTCATTGATGTTTCAAAATGAATGAGAAGAGGGCGGTAAAATACAGGCGGCCCATGGGCGGCAAGTATGGGTAAATCCGGACATGGAGAAGCATCCTACAAACTAATTTGATGGCCGGTTTGTCTTTAAGAGACCTTGATTTTTTGGTAAGAACTCCAAGAGGGTGATTTGCATTACGGTTTGTCGAAAGGTCTAATTCTGACTCGTACATTACATTTGCAAATATTCATCATGTCTACCGTGTCTTATGAGAAAATTTGATGGGGAAAATCAAGGAGCTCATCTTGATCACCCCTTACTGTCCCTCAATTTCAGAGGGTTAAACCATCACTGATACTCTAATTTTATGTAATCTTAGTGCCTGAAAATTAATAGATGGCACCATTAGTGCCCGAAGGAGTGGATCTTTGATCATATTAATAAATTTGGAACCAAATTACTGACGTGTGAACTGAGGCTCCAAGTTATGAAAATGAAACTCATCGTCATGAGTTTTTGTCTACATGAAAGCAAAAAAATCAATTAAAAATTGATGGATAGCTGCGCAGAAATTGATTGGTCGCGTAGATTTATGCTTGGCTGCAGATCGCGTCGTCTCGATGCTGAGTTGTCGATTTTACTCCGAATCATCTATTAGGCTTGTAGCACGTTAAGGAGGAAAAGTGTTAATGTTTCAATCGTTTAACCCGATATTTTTAATCCTCTGTGTTGTTTTTTTACCATTAAGTTTACCGTACCATTTGTATACCATAACATATTTCGGTACCAAAATCTGGTAATGTGTAACGTTTATCACATCAAAAACTCATTCTGTAAATTGCAAGAACTATAAGAAAATATAAACTCAACCATCCTTATTACTTGTGTATTTTCCGAAGGAATTACACTACTTTTTTAGTAATGACCAAATTCAATTCGAGAAAAGATAAAGAACGGATCGCCCAAAAGATCTTGACCACATCAACGAAGCAAGATCTAGTTTAAAGTTTCATGCATAAGTTGCCATGAAGCACGATTCATAAGGCACGCATTCCATCGCGCAAGTTGGACCCTAAATGGGACGCGACGATCCGTCAAAGGAACTAAATCGGATTTCCTCATGAGAGGTTTTCATGTCACCTTTGATCGCAGGCTTGCTCGTGTATAACCTCAATACAATTGCACCCTTAAATTTTTCTGAGGGTTGGGGGATAAAAGTCTTGTGTGTGCTATTTACAAGAATCTCTTTACATGTGCTAAGTCTCATTTCTCAACAAATTATTTAGCACATTAGGTATGATACACAGTTAAAAATGTCCGTGATCGATGTCACTCTGTGTTACTTTAGGCTACTTATATTGTGTGTCAGGGCAACCCAAAGAATTTGGTTGCTCAACACAATTTAGTGTTTAATCGCAAGCTACTCTGACACATCAGATCATGAAGAAATTTTCCTGCCGAGCTTATGTACTCTTGTTTTCCTCCTAGCTCTCAAAGGTCGCACTGCCAAGTGGCTAGCGCATGGGACTGCCACTGATATCTTTTAGGTTCGATCCTAGAGTATGGCGCCTAATTTTGCGGGGTTGCATATTTTCAACACA